GCTGACGCGGGTGAAGTCCGCCGTGGCCAATTTCATGGGCGGCATCATGGCTGGCGGCTCGGGCGCGGAGCACGGCGGCGGCGGCGGCGCGGACCAGCCGCTGCGCTTCCCCTACGGGCGGCCCGAGTTCCTGGCGCTGTCCCCGGACGAGGTGGAGTGCTCGGCCGACCACATCGCGCGGCCCATCCTCATCCTCAACAAGGAGACGCAGCGCCTGCCCTGGACCACGGGCTACGCGGAGTGAGTGTGTCCCCGGGGGGGCCGGCGGGGGGGGTCCCGCCTGGCAGAGGGCACGACTTGCTGCAGGCAGCTCGGTCACGGTGCCCACGCGCCTGGTAGGCAGGGAGGGAGGATTATTTGCCGTAGAGAGCTCTCTCCCGGCCTGCTGGGGACTGGGCTTCAAACGCGTCCCTTGCCAGGCCTGTGCAGCGCTGGTGGCAAACGGGGAGGGTGGGGGGTTGTCGCTGCTTGTTTCCAGCCTGAAAAAAATGCCCATCCTGCTGGGGCGGGAGCCGGGCTGGGAAGGTGGAATGAAGGAGACTACAGCAGCCCGGGGGTGTTGCTGGAGCCCTGGTCGTCCTTGTCGCCTCTGCCACCGCACGTGATTTCTGTAGCTGTGTTACGCACTTATTTTTTCCGAGTTGAAGGATTAAAATGATAAACTGCTCTTCTGAAGCCCTGCAATCGTTGCTGGTGGCTGAAAGCATTAGGAATGCGTGAATAGCGGGCTTGGGTGGCAGTCCGACTTTTTGTACTCTTTGAGAATGACTTGACCAAGGGGTGGGGAGGGTAAATTGGCTGGGCAGCTTCTCACGTTTGTTCTGGACCCGTCCAGAAACATGCACTAATGTGAAACTTTATTCAGGGAGCGTGTGGGAAGCTTTGTCTTGATGCAGAACGGCAAAAGGGAAGCTTCCCTTAGAACTAGCTGCATTGAAAAGTATTGCGTACTGGCTTTCTGTCAGGTCTCTAGTGCATTTCTAAGTTTGGGAGGGACCTGAAGGACTCAACCTCTGTACTGATGGGAAGAAAAAGCAGTGCAAAGACCCCAGGGCCCAGCTGAGAAACAATATTGTTCTGGCCTCTCATTTTAGTGATTTTGTTTATTGCATTGACTTATGTCATTGCTTTGGTCAGTAGCCAGTTTCAGCTTCCCTCTAGTCTTGAGCAGTCACCATCGTTGCAAATCACATGATTGTATAAGGACAGAACTTTAAGGTGCAGCCTGAAAAACGGAGTGCTTGCTTGGATGCAAGGACCCGTCACAATGTTCAGCAGTGGAACAATTTACATATCGGTGCATGATTCAGCTCCATTCACTCAGTGGTAGCTTTACAGCTGCTCTCTTCAGTTGGGAGCAGGATGGAGTCCTTGACTTCCTTTTCCTGCCAACTCCAAGATTGAGGTTTGACCAGCCATGCCATTGGCAGTGCAGAAAGTGCTGGAACCAACTCTGCAACCTCCTCTGTCCCCACTTCCTGCCTCCTAGATTTAGAGATTGGGCATGGTACCTTTTTCCCTTTTGGGAGGTGCCATAATTGGGGGCTTAATTCAACTGCCACACATGGAGAAAAACCACTTTTGACAACTCTGAGAACTGAACTGAGCTGCGCCCCCAATGTGTAGATATGGAGCGTACAAATGAGCTGTTCTAACGTATAGGGGAGGAGTTAGGAGAAATTTACTTTTTAGCTGTTTTCTCAATACTTTAGGGGAAGAGGGTAAGGCAACAAACACTGCATCTATGAGCAACAATATTGAATGTTTTAAATACAACCTTTAAATAATTTGAGCCATAAAACAATCTAGCTCTTTAGGATAGTGGGTAATCTTTACTGTTCCCAATATGAGGGGGAAACTGTGGTACAGTGGTTTACTAAAAGTCAGACTAAGTCCATGACAGTACAGAATAGATTCTGACTCTTAGATGAATGCATAATCTACTAGAGACACAGTTTTCATGTGGAGTGAGGCTTTTGAAAGAAAATGTTGTGGTAGGAGACAAAAGCGGGGCGGCCGGTATATTGTGGGAAATTTCTTATTCAAATTAATGTTTATTGATTAAAGGAAATAGAATCATAGAAAATTAGGGTTGGAAAGGAGGGTGGAAGAAGGGGTTGTTACTTGAAGGGGAGAGGGGGTTGCACCTTGAACAGGTTTTTTTTGGTTGTGTTTTCATGTATAATTTAATTAGTTCAGAAGGATGATCAACAATTAGAAGCACTTTCAGGACCCTTTAGAATTTATGTGAATTAAAATAAACTCTTGGTGTTGGAAGATCTTCTACAGCTGAAGCTCAAGAAAGAGGGAAAAGGTTTCTTTATCAAACTTTTCCATTAAGGAGATTGATGTCTGTTGGTGAGCAGTCATATATATCATCTCCCCAGTTCAAAATAGATTTAGCATCTGGTCTTGTGCTCTTGCACTGGATAAGCTCAAACTACTGCTTCTCCAGAAGTAATAGTTCTCATCATACTTGGGAAACCTTTATATCAGTGATTTCTTCTGTAAGTATTCTCCCAGAAGAAAGGATTATCACCATCTTTTGTGATAATGAATAAATACTTTTAATCAAGTTGCAGCAAGGGAAGTTTAGGGTTGGATATTAGGAAAAACTTTCTCACTAGGCAAGTGGTGAAGCACAGGAACAGGTTACCTAGGGAGGTTGTGGAATCTCCATCCCTGGAGGTATTTAAGGCCTGGCTCAGTAAAGCCCTGGCTGGAATGATCTAGTTGGGGACGGTCCTGCTTTAATCATGGGGTTGGACTAGGTCAGAGGTTCCCAACCTCCAGGCCATGAAGGGTTGGCTGCTGGTCTGCAGGAGGGTTATCTGCCAGACCAGAAGTCTGAAAATGACTAGCATACTGTGGACCAGCAGCCTTTTTTATACTGAATCTAACCATGGTCTAAAAAGGTTGGGAACCACTGGATTAGGTGACCTCCTAAAGTCCTTTACAGCCTTAATTTTCTATGATTCTGTGGTACTTGGGCATCGCTGTATCCAACTATAATTAAATGGTGCTATCTGTCCAGTCTGAATATATCTGTTTGAACAAGTATTAAGTTCTCATTTCTGTTTTGCATCTTTCATGTCCATTTTTCTGGATGTTTTCTCTTACAGGAATAATATAATCTCAAAATATAGTTTTAAAATTGCTGCACAACAATTAATTTAGCTCTACAATAAGCAGCAAAATCCTAGTGTTTGCTTCTCATTTTGATTACTGAGCTGTTATCCTTTTTTTCTAATAACGTAGCTCTCTATGTAGGGAGAAAAAAATCTTCAAAATACATTTTGGAGACAAAGGATAAAACATTTTTTCTCACGTGGCCTCTCAGTATAAGATCTGCAAGGACTCGGCTTTCCTTTATTCACCAATTCACTGAATGGACCCAAAATTGTCATCTTGAGAAAAACAGCCTCCCAACAGATTGTTACTTCAGCTACGTTAATTGAGACCTATCAAGTTTTGACAATAGATCCACCTCTTTCTATGGAATGACAAAAGATGATCGTTTTTTTCAAATATACACTTTCTATTCCAAAGAAGCTTCTAACTTCCATAGAAGTTTGGAGGTCAAAATGTAAAAGTTTTGTCCAAATCTGTGGGTGTTGTTGGGTTGTTGTTTTTTTTGGGGGGGGGGTTGTTTTTTTTTTTAATTCCCCACTGAGATGAGGCAGTTATGAACTGGTCAGCCGTACTACCTGGGAAGTTAGTGGAACAAGTTAGAAATAAATCAGTTTGCCAACATGTTAAGGAGGAAAGGATGATCACTAGAAGTCAACATAGATTTCTAGTGATCATGGATTTATTGACAAATCATCCCAACCCACTTGGTCTCCTTTGACAGAATAACTGGGTGGATCAAGAAAATGAAGTGACCATAGCGTACCTGGATGTTAGGAAGACCTTTAATAGTTCCACATGCCCTTCTCATACATGCAAGTGAGGGAGTATTATAAAAGGATTGATGTCAGCATGGCAAGAAGTTTCAAGTGAAGTTCCAGAGGGGTCTGTCCTGGGTCTCGTGATGTTACATGTTTTTGTTTTAATTATTTGGATGCTGGAATTGAAAACCTGATCAAGTTTGCAGATAATGTGAAAGTGGGAAGGGCTGCAAGGACTTTGGAAGATAAAAGTAGATAAAACAAGTTCTTGATAGATTGGGGAACTGAGTAGAGGAAAGAACTGAGTTCAGTGCAGACAAATGCAAGATGCTAAACCTAGGGAAGAATAAGCAAATCTTAGAGGTGCACCAATACATTGGTCACATACCGGATAAGTGCCAACATAAGGAAAATTAACTGTATCAGCAATCGGGTTTTTTTGCTGATGTGGCCGATAATGCCACTGATAAATGCTGTGTGCATGCATGCATCCACAGCACAGCATGAAGGTGGCCAGGAGTGCAGCTGAGTATCTGGGTCCAGTTGTTAAGTCTGTTTCATAGTTTCATAGTTTCTAGGGTCGGAAGGGA